GTAAAATCTGCACATGAGAAACAACGTAGAGAAGGGCAGCCCTGTGACCCTAGTAAGCGCAACTGCACGCAGGACAGCGAACCACCACGGCCCGAACAAACGGGAAGGAAAAGCGCCGCCTTCCGGGCAGCACGGCGACTTGAACCTTGGCCTGAAACTCCTCAGGTCTGTGAGACTGTCCTCGCGCTGCTTCAGCTAGCCAGCGCTTCGGCACTGATCTTAAGGCTCCAACTTAGGGCCCCAGTTTATGCTCTTAACACTGCATAGGAAACTACGAAAACGCAAATAAAACGCTTTTGTTTTATCACATAGAAATGGCTATTCAATTTATATTTGAATGAAAATAAGCCATTTAACTACGGCTCTTCTTCCAACAAAATCAAAATAATACTTACTTTTTGAATACTCTGATGAACATAAAGGCGGTTAACAAAATTATTTTTCTTAATGAAAATAAAAAATACTTCAAGAAAACATTCAGATTTTGTTTTATTTACATTGGTAACCATCATTTTCATCATTATAATTAATTTTCTAGAATGAATACAAATGTATGATTTATGGTCCAAAACATATATTTAAATCAACAAAAAGGTATGTACAGTTATTAAATTATTTACTTCCTAGTACATATTAGAAAAACACTTCCTGTAAGGTAATACTGACCCAAACGTTCACACCGAAGGCTAAGCCTTTCAGAAGCGGCCGGGCCAGAAGGCAGAGCCCAGCAGAGCCACCAGCCCTCCCGCTGCCCCTCCTGCCCCGACCCTCTTCCCGGCGTGTCGGCACCCTTTCCTCCCCGAGCCCCACGGCGACAGCACAGGAACTCTGTGCAGAGGGAGACAGTAACCTCTTTCTTCTTTTTACCTGGAGGTTTTGGTGCTCCCTCTGACTTGACCTGACGTTTACTTCACCTACCATCTGCGCCAAATTTCGCTTTGGTAAAACATAAGGAAACACAGGTTAGCAAGTATGAGAATAAACAGAAGTCCATTTTCCTCAATAGGCAATACACCCACTTAGCGACTGTCAGCTTATCCAAGTTAAATGCTGCTGCACGTAACACAAGGTGGCAGTGTTTCCAAACGGGAAGCAGCTTTAAGGACACAGGCTTTACATAAACCGAGTGTAATCTATTTCAAAACACTAAAAAGTAACGAAATTTAAAATCCTTACTGTTGCGGATTTATTTTAACCAAAGTCACCAAATTTTAAAAAGGAGAATGTGTACTAGAGGCAAAACTCAAGGTGCACTATAAAGCGTCAGCAACCATTCCCAAAGAAAGAGTTTAGTGCTTAAACAAAGGAGGGGGAGTTACATTAACGCTGAAAGCAAATATGGAAATGATTCACTTCTTTGACACGGATGAAGTAAAACACCAAGGGGTGTGATAAGAGAGAGACAGACAGTCCTCCGCCCACAGCCACACAAGAGCCTCGGGATGACTCAGGCGGGTACGTGTTCTGATTTTGTGCACTTACTGCTTTGACACTTTATTCCAGCTCAGAGATTTGCTTTAATAAAAACACAACACAATCATTAAATGAGGGAGAAAATAACCTTTTCTTGCCAAAGTTGACCTTTAAATTTATACAACAATTTAGAAAGTTATTTCTTTCTTCCCTTTTGAAAGCTAAAAAAAACCAAACCAAAAAAAGTGAATGCTTTAATTCTCCAAGATAATTTTATTATGTTTCATATTATTTGCCAAGTTTTGTTTAACCAAGTGTTTAAACCAACCTGCTAATGGGCTCGGATTTAGAATTAGAGGGACGAGTTCCCACTGAGACAATGCTCTGTGTCCACATTTGGCCCAAACTACATTTCTAGCCGTGCTCCTTCCACCTGAGGACTGTCCTGCAGGGGAGTCTGACCGGCGTCATCACACCACTTCCAGCCCCACCTTCTCTCTGGGTCCCTGGTTACCTCTCCTCTTCTCTGGCTCCATCACGGCACATCACGCCTGCCACTCCGGCCCTCTACTGCCCACAGACACGTGAAGCATGCTCCCTCATCAAAGGCTTGGTACCTGCCCTTCCCTCTGCCCAGAGCCCGGGGCTCCCTCCTCACTTCCTTCAGACCTCTGTTGACTGTTACTTCCTGACCCCACAACCTAAAATAGCTTCCCGCCCTCTCCCTCATCATTCCCCCACCTCCTGTTCCGCTGGTCCCCAAAGCACCTGCTGTGACACTTGACACTAAACACCCGTCTGCTTACTGTTCATCTCTCACTAGGCTGGGAGCTCCCTGAGGGCAGGGGCTCTGAGCACGGATACCCCAACACTTAGAGCAGTAAGATGCCTCTGCAGACACCTGTTAAGCAAATAACTGAACACATTTCCTTTAACTAAACCGTAGCTTCTTGATAACAAGGATTATATGGCCCTGAGTACACGAACAAATCCTGTCTACAGCAGATATTTTAAAACGTATTCAGTAAATAACAGAGACAAATGAGTTTCACTGTTCCTAGCAGAACATTAACGCCATCAACTCACTCAGGTAACTCCTAGAGCACTGGGCAGAATAGCATTCCCATGTTAACATTCACTAACCCTTGATTTTAAACACCTGTACATTTCAGAAATCACTTTCCCCTGACTCTGCGTGCGCTGTCTGGCATAGCTAGAAGAGCGCACATCTTATTCCCCTCCACCCCTGCTCAGGCTACCTGAGGAATGGGAGAGGAGGCTGAAACTGCTGCTGCACGTGGCAGAGGGAGTGACAGCAGGTGTGACCCACACGTGGACCACGTGTCCTCAGCTCTGACGGGCTGGAGGGGAGCACGCTTTTGCACAGCTTCCGGGCTCAGGTGCAAGGCAGAGAAATGATGCGGAAAGATGGCAAGTCGCTCAGCAGGCACCTGATCACCTCCTCCTCCGGGCTGGGAAGTGCTCAGGCCCCCTCACTAGAGAAAAGCTGGAGGCCTGGAGGGCACAGCCGGCAGAGAGGGGAGCTGCCTACACCTGCTCTGGGGAGGCAGTGTGTGCGTACAGCAGCCCCGCCACTCTGACTCCAAGAGAGCTACCGAGCCTGAGACACAAAACCCGGGTTAAAGGTGACGTGATAATCAAGTTGGCGCGAAGTACGAATTATTTCATGTACTAACTTTTAAAAAAGTAAAGTCCTCATTAAATTAAATACATACAGCAAAAAAAAAATCAAAATGTTAACAGTGGCACTGAAATCACATACATAATCAGTTTTGAATTCTGTTTTCTCCATTTCTTATTGCATTGAAAGGTGTTTCCCACAGCAGGAGAATCTGGCCCCGTTACTTTGGGAGAACAGGAGAAAACTGCCCACGGTCTACCAGGACACCACCTGCCAGGAATTCACCACCTCAGAATCTCAACAAGGCGCCACAGCTCATTCTTGAGCGGGCTGGCTGCTCACGGCCAGCGATCAGGAGGCTACCTATGTCCCACTGGGCACATTCGCTGCCAGTAAGCCCCACCGTCCAGCTGAGCGGCAGGGTCAGGATAAAGCTCAGGGTCTCACACCTGGTCTCTACCTGCGAGTGACTGACTGAGGAGAGAGAACAGCATGATTTAAATTCAAAACAGCTACATACGACCATCAACCAGGCTTACAAAGCACTTAACTTAAATTACACAATATAAATAATTTTTTTAACCTGTTGTAAAGATGGTCCTTTCTTCCAAAGTTCTCTCCCTGAAGATTTAAAGAGAGAGAGAGAGAGGAGAAAGAGGAACAGAGAAACAGCAGGTTAACTTGGGCAGATACACATTCCCTCATTATGCAACTGAGTCAACGTTAAAGAAACAAATTTCAAAGTTTCTTTTAAAGCTGATGACCTTACAGGTTTTAAACAACAGTGAAACAACACTTTTGCAACAAATTGGCCTTTTTTTTTTTTTTTTTTTGCTACAACGTCCAGGTAGACGATGCTCAGCGCTAGGGAGCGGAAGTAGATGAGAATGCAGAATTCAAAGCATTCCTGAATTAGAAGGCAACTTGTCGATACACACCAAAACCGAAAGAAACGTGCATAACCTGAAACCTCCTGATTCAGCTTCTAGGAAATCATCCTAACGGTGTAATAAAAATACACTAAAGTGTTTATGCATAAAAACAGTCACTAAGTGGTTATTTATGTTAGTAACAACAACTTGAAAGACACCTATAGAGAGTTGCTTAATTGAATTAAACTTAAACAGGTGGGAGTTTATGCATTAATAAAAAATCTTACTGTAGAGAAAAATATTTATTCATGAGGGAAAAACCTTCAAATTGCATTATACGAAAAGAAATCTACAGCTCACGGCAGGTGACCTCAATTTTATGCACAGAAAAGACTGGAAGGGCTTTCCTCGGTAATGGAGGCCCCTCAGTGGTAGGATGAGTGGCTAGTTTTATTTGTTGTGTTTCTCTGCATTTCCCAACGTCTCTTCAATAAGCACAGGAAAATACTTCGTACAGGTATTCAATAAATGTTGATTGGATATTTTATATACACATTTGAACAATAATTCTTTTTTAAAACTTTGTAAGTATTAAAGAGCTTAAGAGCTTCACCCCTTCTCATCGAAAAAAACACACAGTGGTAAAATACTTGATCTGGCTGTTTCTTTTCAGCGCTTAAATTACACCATGGTAGAGTAGGTCTGACTCGATAGATTGGACAATGAATGTAACAAAACCAGCAATGACACTGTAAACCTACGCAGCTGGGACACAGAGGGGGACAGCCAACACTGTTTACCAGTGCGGAGCATTCTGCCCCTCACGAACCGGGGCGCTACCATCAAGATCTCTAAAAGCTGCTCTTCATCAGCCCAGTGAGACTCTCCTAGCGACGGAAAACCCCTGGTACCTCTGCTGGTATTTTCCGATGCAGTCTTCAGTAAGGTTAGGATGTCCAGGTTGTCCCCAATTCTTGCGTAGTAAGAACTGTCGTGGCCAAGGGCATCCAGCAAGGTTACATCAGCACCATTTTTAAGTAGGACTTCGACGGCGTCTTTGCAACCATACTCGCAACCTAGCATGAGAGCGGTCCTAGAAGGGACGACGGAAGAATGAAAGACCTTGAGAAGGATCCAAGGAAAGATTTCAAAAATCCCTTTTGGAGGCCCCCATCTTGAAGAACAGATCACTTTACAAAGCCGTACTCATTACAGACACAGATTTGCTTCACATTTTTCTCTCACATTCTGACTTCGCTGCATCTGTGAAAACACCTGCTGTGTCTCAGTGTGCAGGGCCAACGGCTGATACCACCTTGCATGCACCTGTGACGTCTACCCCCAGATTAACCTCCTTTGTTCCAGGCGCTCTGTGTCCTACAAGCAAACTGCGCAAAAATCTTCCACAACCAATACTGTCACCCGATCTGTGCAAAACCTACGACAATGAACCCAGACTATTTAAATCACTTCGTGAACTGAACCGCACCGTGCAAACCTCCGCAATGAGTCCCTTTCACCCCGAAGCAGGGATCAGTCGCCTGCTCCTGACTCCTGTCTTTAGAAGAACCTTTCTTCTCCTTCATATCTCCTTCACATTTTCACACTTAGTTTTGACATTTGCCTTCTCAAATAAACCTTCTTCGATCAGCCCCATTACCCTGGACCGTTGGTCTATTCTGCCATGACAGAATCTTCAGCACGTAAAGACTTAACGGCGTATTGGCAAACTGCAACAGTGCAATAATTAAGCACATCACCGAAACTAGAAGGGCCCTAGACACGCTCTGGTTTTACTGAAATGAAATGAAATGCAGTGACTTATCCTGCCTGTAACTTTGTCTTCCACTGGGAGTGCTGGATTTCATCAGCGGCCTGGGTTTTGCCTTTCCTTTATGTCTGTTCTCGTTCTCTCTTACACTCCCCAGCAGTTGCTGGGGTGCAATTTTACATATAACAGGCATTAACAAGGGTGTGTTACTGGGGGGAAAATACACAGATAAGACAGGAAGGAAAAAAACTTGAGTGCAGAGCATCAGACTGAGATTTTAATTTATTTTTAAAATCATCTGCTATGCAGTCTGAATATAATACACACTGCCCTACCTCACTGGCATTTTTGGAAGTTCCAGTGAGAAAAACAGAGACAAACATACTGGAAAAATACAAGATCTATTCAAAAATAAGGCATTATATTCGTGGGTCAACAAGATCATCCCTCTCTGATCTTAAAATTTATTTATGCTTGGAGTCAGACTATGGTATCACGAAAACAAAACAGTATTTGAAAAGCTACTTTCTTAAAAATCATGTGAATGATTTAACTGCTTAAGAATTTCCTCCTTTGAGATGCCTGAACAACAGAAATAATTACAGCTATAAAATCTGACATCCAAAGACTATTTTACTATACTTATCTGCTTCCAGTGAACTACACACAATAGAATACATGTTTAGAAGAATAAAATTAAGTCAAAAGAAACCAACAATTTACCAGCAATCATCTGTAAAATCTCAGAAACCTGTCATAAATTATTGTGATGCTTCCACTCGTGGAAGGGATGTATTTCAGATACTCTGCTGTCAGACTGCAAACAGCGGAGCTGTCCTACAGCAAGCGGCATGATACACCAGACCCAGGGAAGAAGACAGGGAACTACAGAGAGAAACTGCATGTCAACTGAAGTGATGTCAAATACAGATGCAGAAATAAATTAAAGGAGTCTGTGCTGGGTCCAGAAATGAACTCAGTTCCAGGGAAGGAGCTGGCATAGTGCCCGGACAGAAAGGAGAGGAAACACTTTGAGAAAGTCTACACTGAAAACACGTCAAGCTCCGGGCACCCAAGGACTGCTTTACTCTCAAAAGATTCACTAATGGAGAAGCAGGCTGTGGACCTGAGTTTTCATCCTTCTCCCTTATTTGAGACCATTTCATTAGAGATTTTTCTATAAAGCTTTAAACAATTAGGACATAATTCCTCGCCCTGCAGTTCTCTGACCTGAACACAGGCCCTAACCACTGTCCGTATTCCGACGGGACCCTGGCATCGTCCCCCTGCCTCCCTCTCTTCCTTCTCCAGCAGACTCTGAAGAGAAGTAAGAAGTGGGTAACAATGCCAAGGGAGGGGGAGCCACGGGGGACAGAAAGGCCAGGTCACAGCAGCAGAGCTTCAGGGTCACCGTGCATCCCGCAGGTGTCTGGGAGACTGCGAGGAAAGAATTACCTGTTCTGTTTGTCTCTGGAATTCACATCCGCCCCTCTGTCGATCAGCAGCTGACATATGGCTGGCCTACACATCTGAGTAGCCAGAACAAGTGGTGTCCGCCCATCCTAAGCAACAAGAACAGTAAGACGGCATTAGGACAGCAAAGTTCCCAAACACAACAGTCAGAATACACGGTGGAAATAAGAGAAGACACGAGCTGACGTACCACGTCTTTGGCATGCACCGAGGCCCCGTGGTCACACAGCAGCTGTATGCTGGAAGGGCAGTCCGCCATAGCTTTGAGGGACAAAGGAGAGCGATAAACAGTGAGCACCTGCTGGCAACACGTGGGGTCTCGCTAGGTCCATTAAGACCTGAATTCTCCAGGCCCTAAGTACCAAGCTTCACATCCTTCACTCTCAGTTTAGCATCATAAGCAACGACTTTCTATCTGGAAATGGATTAGACAAGAATATTTTGTAAATTTTATATGATTTATTAGGACCAAGGAATATTGTCATCCTTGCAGAAGAGAATATACTGCTGTTCTAAGGGTAAACATGGTAATGGAAATCAAACTTAAATTTCCTATTTATAGTATATTTTTAGATATGGCTATGACTGACTGGATCCTTGATGTGTTAGCTCAGTTTTTTTTAAAGAATCAAAATTTTTTTAACAGAAGAGCCACAGTAAATAGAGTATGACTCATACAATTCGTATTTACTTTTCAAAGCAGAGACTGCAGGGTCCTCCTTAAATGACACAAAAAGCATGGTCATTCTGCTAAAAATAATATTATAAAATTACATAATGCTTCTTCTCTGACCTCCTAGAATTCATATTTGTATCGGGAAAATTTGTTAAACTCATAAAATAGGATTGTGTTTATACACCCCATGAATTTTTTTTCTAACTTTTATGAGTTGATAAATTATATGAGTTTTATGAGTTGATAGATTATCTGCACAAAAAGTACTAAGTCAGTGTTCTTTTTTTATGAAATTCAATAAAATAAAACCAAACATATATTAAAATGTAAATTTTTCAGTTCTAATGTCTTTAATCCAGCAAGTCTTTTATATAAAATACATAATCAATCATAAAAAAAGATAAACTGAAACTGAATACATTAGTTTAGGAATTATAAAATTAACAACAATTCAGGCCCAATTAAAAATAATAAAAAATGTAAAGCATAACAAATTCCAGAGTCATGCAAGTTGAACAAGCAAAGTCAGCACTAAAGGTGCTATGATGGACAGTGCCAAGGGTTCACCCTTCCTCCCGTGGCAACAAACGGCCCTGGGCACAGGGCGGCTCGCAGAAGCCACCGTCCCAGCCGCCTCTGCTTGCAGGCGTAGCCACATGAGCTAGATCACGCCAGTGGAATTTGAAGGAGGGATGCGTGCTACCTTCTGAGTCTGGAACTTTAAAAGGTGGTTATACCTTCCTCCGTAATCTTTCCCCTTCCTGTTAGCAACAGAACAGGTGCCTGCCGTCAGCTTTAGCCTTAGAGATGAGGACACCCAGGCAATGACAGGACTGCAAGACGGAAAAAGTCTGGGTCCCTGAGTCACTGTACGGAGCGGAGGCACAAGGCAACTGGATCGTCAGGACTATGTCATGAAAGAAATACATTCTGTGTGTGGGTGTTTTTTTTTTTTTAAAGCCAGTGTCATTTTATTTTGGCCTTATCCCTAAACAAGACAAAAGCTGCTATCAGAGGAGCCGGGTGCCACTGTAACAGACACCTAAATTACACAGCACTGGTTTAGTGGCTGGGGACTAGGTGATGAGTAAGCATATTTCAGGCTAGAAACCTTGTGATGCTTCTCATGCTGTGGGAAAGCATTTAACAGATCTGCCATTTGTGCTGGTTTACAAGGCGTCCTGTGAGATGGGAAGAGTTCAGTTCACGAATGACCCGAAGCCACAGGCCAGCCTATACCACTCGACAACAAGCAGCTGACACGTGAGCTCTTTATCACATCAGCTCGTCTTCACTTTAACCTCCCCTGTACACCTGCTAAACAGATCTAAGATTTCAATGGGTTAGGCTGTACCAGTTTTAAAAACAGGGATAATAAAACCTATACTATACAGAAAATTACACATATTCGATGTATGCATTTTGATGAAACTGACATATGCAGACACTGTAATGCCATCCCCACAATCAAGGTTCTAAATACACACATCACTTGCACAAATTTCCTTGTGCTTTTTTGTGTGTATGTGTGTTTTGTTTGGGATTTGTTTTTTGTTTCTTGTGTTTTTTTTGGTAAGAATACTTACCAAAGTATTCGGCCCTCTTAATATATTTTAAAGTACATAATACCCTATCATAAATTGTGTGCAAGACATTTATATTAAACAATAATTACATATATATATTTTTGTATAATAATTTTTGTATAATTTTTTTGTACAATAATTTTTGTATAATAATTGTATCTCAATAAGCATAAAAAATAAAAGGGAAAATAACTGGAGAAAGCTGCACACTGATGAGGTAAACATTTTCAAATGCATTAGATGTAAAAATGGATTGCACTTAGGTTACAAAATAGAATCATTATCTTTCAGAGATACAAACTGAACTGTTCATGGATAAAACTAGATGATGTCCTAGATCTGGCTGACAATATGCCAGCAGAGGAGAAGGGGTGGGGGCACACACAAGCCACAGCTGATCGTATGTTGACAACTTTGGGTGAATGGCATAAGGTGTTTTAATATAATATGCTAATTTTGTTTTAAATTTTCCATCATAAAAATTTTAAATAATTTTAAAGCAATTACTAATAAGGTTGGATTAATTAAAAAGACAACTACGAAATGGTGGTAGAACAGAAATATCATGACCCGTATTCATGCTTCATCAAGCAGCAAAATCATTTTTAAACGTCCATCAAGCACAATAAATCAGTGCTACAGAAATGAACTGTATTTTTTACAATTTTAAATTTAATTTGTAACTTTGTTTCGATGATTCCTTAACTATACAAGCTTGATACATGTATTATATATGAATCTGGGTTTATGTTTTTATTTTTTAGTCATGTAATTATTATGTTTTTAATTATTTAAGTAGCAATACAAAATTATCATTAAAATATAAAATAAAAGTAAAACTATAGGAAAGTCACAGGGATCACTGTGAGGCTCAAATGATAATGTATGTAAAAATGCTTTGCAAATAATACCACTCTATACAAAAACACAAGGAAAAACACATTGTGTGAGTGACTAAACTACCATAAAAGTACATGAAATTGGAAGAAAATCAAGGAATAAAAGTCTGAAGGAAATGTGAAGTGCAACACATTTCTAACAGAGACCCCTCTAACACTACCACAGATAGTCTACGTACAGGAAAGGAAAGGGTAGTGTTTTTTCCTTTTCTTTGAATTTCTAGTTAACTAGGAATTTGAGCCTTAGAAGAGTCTGGCCAGGGGCCAGACTATCTTATATTGCAAAAATCCTTAACTATCTAATTTTTTTCTAAGCATTTTCTTTGAGACACCTAAAGAATAATGTAGATACATTCTGATAGACAGTATGATTAATAAAGTCCACAAAAATACTAGTACAAATCTCTTTTAAAACAGAGCACACCACAGTGATATGCAATTCCGCACTGATGTCTCTAGATCAAAAAAGCCTCGCCACGTTGAGTTAAGAAGCCACTACACGCCAGGAGCTGTCCGTGATTAGTTACCACCACCCCCGCCGTAGCGTTAACTCCATCCTGCATCTGGGAAAACGAGGCTCAGACGTGTTGAAGAGGTCAATACAGTTTTCAAGGAAAAGTCTTTCTCCTTCCCGTCTCTCCCAGCAGTTCCCAAACGCACGGCACTCACAGCTCCCTGAGAACAGGATCACGGCTTTCGCACCTCTGGATTTTCAGCATCTAGCAAACTGGCCTGAAATAATGGCTGAATGAATCTTTCTAAGCTGTACAATCTAACAAATTTCAAATCTGAGTAAGCAAAGAGTTCAAAACATTTTGTCTCTCCATGAATTATACAAATCTATGCATGTTAAAACTCTGACATAATTTAAATGCCTAGCCATTTTAACGGAGGCTCGTCTATGCCCAAGTGAACCCTTGGCTCACCTGCGTCATGAAGCGCGGTTCTTCCTTGCAGGTCGACGTGTTCAGTGGGGCAATTGTACTGTTAAAACATGGGAATTTAGTGATGTAGGAAAGGTTCATTTTCAAATTAAATATTGAGACTCTAATGAACAGCTGTTATTTAATCTTAAAATATTCCATTTATCAAAGACACCAAAGACTACTAGACAAGTCATAAATATTTTGACACGCAACAAACATAACAACACTATACTGTAAATTTAACAGTATTCCACCAAACAGGAAGACACATGGCACACTACAACAGTGTGGGGTAGAGGAACTATGTTATTGTTTGGGTTTTTTTTTTTCCAGCAAGAGTTCAAGTTTGAACAATTGAATCAGAAAAAACAAACGAGCTCTATTGTGAAACTCGGTGGCAAACATGCTTAATGAAGTGTGTGATAGGTCCTTTAACTGAAAACTTTTTTTTAGGTTTTTAATTCACTTTTATTTGTATTTTTCAATTTAAGAGACGAATGACTCCCAAGATTCTAATCCAAATAGTTACATAAACAACATTATTTCCAGGCTGACTTTTAGAAGAACATTTTAATTTGCTTCTGTAAATATTTGCGAATACAATGTAATTGTATGGTATCTGTTAGGTCTGTTCAGAGATAGTTACTGGAAAACATTTAAGATTAAAGGGTCAAGTAGTAATAGGGACTTAATAATACAGCAGATGGCAGCTTCTACCACTTTCTTAGTATTAGGAAAGAACTCGACTGTGGCAGACAGAAGGCACATCAACAGAAACAGTGTTTGGAAGGGACAGGAAAGTTAGTTTTGCCCTTCTCCCCACATGAATGCGCACGCGCGCGCGCGCACACACACACACACACACACACCCACACCCACACACACTGCAGTCCTCTGCGGCTCTGGAAAACTTAATTTAGCCCACTAGCTCATAGAATTCTGGTTGCCTGATTACAAGTTGGACTAACGCTGGGATTATGTACCCTAAATTACTGATGTTTATATAGAGATATACAGATCCTATGCTGCATCACTTCATCTCAAGTCATACACCAGACAGCAGAAAGTTCCAATCTCCAGCCAGGGTCAACAGGAAGGTCAAGTCTTTGCTGTTTATTTTTAATACACTGAGTTATGCAATTCACTTCCCTCAGAGTTTTTGCTATTTATTGTTCACATTCTTTCAGAAGTGATGGAAAAAGTATCATGTAAGCTAACAATCAAAGCGAGTCTACTATTGTCATTCATCTCAAATTCCAAAAACATATTGAAAACACATCTCTTATTTTCAGTCAAAATAATAAAGCTGCAGTATTAACCACTTTCGTTACCTGCAGAAGTTTCTGCAGACACAACGCGTGCCCGTACTTTGCAGCCAGGTGGAGCGCGTTCCTCCCTGTAAAAGAAACCATTTTAACCGTGGGATGAGAGGCGTTTTCTTCACAACTGAACTTCCCATGCAAGTATGACTCATTTTCCCAAAATGAGCTGACAGAACACTTCGTTTGTAGGCGCGCTCTAAGTTTCTAAGACAGTTCACCTAGCTTCAGATTTTTATGAGAGATAATACACACACCAAGACAGTGAGAGTGGAAAGAAAAATTAAACGTACAAGCTCATTAAAGAGCAAGAATTCTCTTATTTACCACTGAGTCTCCAACACCTGGAACAGTGTCTGAGACAGAATAAGTAATTAAACACCAGCATATGAAAGGAGGGAGGGGAAGAGAAAGAAAAGAAAGGAATGGGGGTGGGAGGGAGAGAAAGCTAGATTTCACATAACATTTCCAAACAGGCAGTGTGGCTACTAAGACGGAGAAAGGTCAGAGGCGTGAGTCAAAGAAAGGGTATTCTCCAAGTGATTTTTATGCTTCAACTAAAATTCAAAGTTTACTAAGAGAGTCTGTCTCTGAAAACCAGACAACTTGTTCAAATACGTGTACTAAATAAAATATGCAAATTTAAAGGAAATGCCGAGGTGAGCGGAGTTACCAGATAATCCAAAAGGTTAACGCTGAATAGCGACAAAGGTAATGTGCACAGAACATTTTGCCTCCAAACACTATTTCTCCTAATCGTACTTCTATACATACATGTCTCCTGGATGGTGAAAAATATTAGGGTTTCAACAGACTATTCCAGCTTCCAGTCTTCAATGCTCTCAATTTCCCTCTAACTTCATAAACTTCTTAAAATATAATTGGACTCCACAATTAGACCCTTCTGCTAGAAAAGAAGTAACTGATGTTCTGTTCATCCTGGATGAAGAAATAAATTGACTTTCAACCCTCATTCGGTTTTAGATGTGTTTAGATATGTGAATGAGTTTTCCTGAGGCTAATCACTTCTGTGCAGCTAACAGGTTCTAGAACAAAAAGCAGTGACTCCGGACCTTTGAACAGGTACAGACACAGCATGCTCAGCCCTTCCTGAACATCCTCTAATCACAAACAAGTCAGACGTAATGGTTTCAAATTTCACTCTGCTGCTGCTCATGGGCAAACGTCCTAGAAACACTTCACATCGTGAAAAGTGACCGGATGACGGGCACTAACACAGAAGTGAGAGGGGCCACTGAGTGGGCGGTGGGAACACAGTGGTGGCAGTCCCTGGCGTTCACCCAAGTGCCGCAGAGACCTGGTCACAGAAGAACGCCAGTCGAGGGCTAGGGACACACCAAACCCAGCCACCTGAGACAGAGCAGCACGAAATCATGGAAACGTCACATCTAAAGCATGGCCCCGTGAATCACACCAAAGGCGCGTACTTGGCAAGACCTGGGTCACGAATATCTCAAAACTGCATTAATTTGAAATGTGGCTGTTTTCAGTTCACTCTGGTATTGCTAGCAAGGAAAGCAGTTAAGATAAAAGACGTAAAGGTTTTGTAATCAAATTTTTACCAGATACTCACATCTGGATTATAACAGACAATGTAACAGCAAATGAGACACGGTCCTTGTCCTTGGGAAAGGGACTCAGACAACTAACATAATTAAACAAATCAAATAAAAATATGACTAAACAGCAAAACAAAAGACAAGATGTGAAGCAGGTGCGTGGGAGCGCAGGGTATGAAATGATGACTGCTGAGCTGGGGAAGCGTCTGAGCTTCAGATGCACTAAAGGAGGGGGGTCAACAGTCACTCAGACTGGCCACTAGGCAAGGCTGTCCAGCGCAGAAGAACACAGACAAAAATGCGGAAGACACTTGTTTGAACTGGAATCAGCACAATAAATAAGTCTTATGAGTTCAGAAAGGGCATGGTTAGTCCAAAATTTCTAAAAATATATATTCTTCTACATCAATGGAAAACATATATATATATGTAATAAACAGCTTTTTGTTCATTCAAAGGTGGCAGATAAATTGAGTCTGGTCTTCAGTCAAGAATCTGACACACCTTTAGGTAAAGATTTCCCTCACTAACTCATTTGTCATCTGCCTCCCTCTCCTGCCCTTCCACTTCTAAACACAATGATGATTAACTAGTAACGTATTTATTTGTCCATACGTGAAGTCACAGAATAAACCATTAAAGTCGTTAAGGAAATCCTCTGCTCTAGCTCAGCTCCCACACTTGACTGATGAAGAAAGGAGAAATGCAGAGAGATGAGCTGCCGAGAGCCCCAGAGAACTGAGGAGGACCACCCAGAGGGACAGGAAACTGGTACGTTTCCAGAAGAAGCGCAAAGGCTGTCTTCAAATACAGAAAAGTTGGCCTTGTGAGGTGCAGGCTTGCGCTGCAAGACATCAGAAGGCAGGGGTGGGGATGACTAAGCCTAAGCAGAAGGTCTGGTCATCAGAGACAGACTCAAACTGCAGCAGAAGCCGTTTTTTTCAGTACTGCTGGCCAGACACAGAGCAGGTCTCCCCCGGGCACACTGACTGCGACTCGGGCACCGAAGGACCCGGGCAAGTTACTGAGCAGCTCAGCGCCCCGCAGCCTCGTGGCTGGGCGGGAGGATGCAGTGAGTCAGGACGGGTACAGCGCTCGGCAGAGCAGCGACACGCGTGTTCCACAAGGGGCACTGTGGGGGATACTGTTCTTGGTACGAGGCAGTGAGTTCCCCATCACAAAACACGTCCAAGCAAAGGCTGAGTGACCTCGTGACAGCGAGGACACATACACTGAAGAGTGTAGGGTGCAAATGGCCCCTGAAGGTTCTCCAACATCTGAGCTTCTCGGGTTTGGAAACACCGTGGAGACCAGCCTGGACTTCAGGGCCCCACTGCCCACCGGTTCAGGCGTCTTTTCTCCTGCAACCCTGTGCTTGCCGTCTCCCCTACAATGGTGCTCACGAAGGACTCCCCCCCACCGATCAGGTCTGATTAAGAGCACCAGCTGGGGACCACGCCTGCCCCCTCTGCTCCGTGCCTATGCGGAGGCGAGCATACCTGCGGTGTCGCTGGTTGTGATGTCAACTCCATGAATGAGGATGGCATTCAGACACTCGAGATTTCCCTTTGAGGCCACAACATGAAAGCTAAACAAACAGAAAGGTGTCAGTGAGCTACAACCCTAGAGAAGGCGGTGACGAGGCTGACGGTGCTCCTGCGCCCAAGGGGAGGGGCAGGCAGGCAGTGGGCCCCTGGCTCTCCAAGAGGCAGCGACTCTGCCCCGCTTTGCAGCGGCAAAGGGCCGCACCCAGGAGAGGCCAGCGGGAAGAAAACGGGTCCTTGCAGGGACCACGGCCGGGCCTCAAAGACTTCATTTTTGAAGCTAGATAAGAGTTCAAGAAGCATGGGTTACTTCTGTCTTACATTTCAAAATAAAAAACTAAAAAAAGTCATTCAAAATAAAACTTTTTATAATTACAGAGAACATATTTGTGATATGTCCTATATTTGACTAAATATAAAATGCTTTAGTTAAGAAATACAGCTTGTGTGAGTAACATAAGTAACTCAAGTAACAAAAGGAAAACGTCCCTACGACTCCCACAAGGAACTCTGCGTCCTCCAGAGAGAACCTCGAAGGCTCACGCTGCTCAGGCAGTTCACAGTTCCTCAGATTACACCAGATTTTCCTAACTCTGACCATTAACACAATCTCACTCAAAACTGAATCTTAGATCAGAAAAATCTCAACAAAAACTCAAGCTAACATTCATTCAGAACACACAAAGCACGATGGCCAGAACTGAAGAAATAAGGTTTCACTGAAGATTCTCATCCCAGAGGAGATCCTTCACCTTTTAATATCTTGGTGTTTAGGGAAAAAGAAATAAGAAAAACAGTTACTTTTCACTATTTATACTATAAGCCCTACAAACAGCGTGAAATTTAGTAAAAATAGAAGCAAGACTCAAAACAGCCAACGTCCCTGTGGCTGTCAAACTGCCCACCTGACAGACCTGAAAGAGTGTTAAGAACTGAAGCGTCGCCAGCTTTACCGCTCTCATGGACACCAGGGCTTCAGGTCACACCTGGCTGCTTTCACTGTCCTTACACATCTAAGCATTCGAAGGCAGTGACCTACATCAAACGTTAACTGTTCACTTCCTAACATTCATTTCTATATTTAGTATCCAGTTTCCAGTTATAATATTCTAAAAAAAAAAATTCACGTAAGTGTAAGACTGAGGAATTTTAGGAAATGAGACTTCTCTCCCCTGACTTGGGAAGGCTTCCCAGGTAAGGCTTTCCCGGCTGTGCTCACAGAGAGCCGTAACAGAATCTAGATGCACCCTCTAACCCAGCGGCTCCCCATCCTCAACAGGAAGGAAAACGAAGACTGGGGAGGCGTGGGAGGAAGGACACCCGGTTCACAAGCACACGGACAGGCCAGGCGTCCTCCTCAGGAACACAGCGGCCGGAGGGCAGGGTCCCCACCCGTGTCTCCCCAGCCACACTGGTCATTCTGCCTCCCTAATGCCTCAGATGTTCTCACTGAAATTAATTACCCAATTCTAAAAGTGGACTGGGGGTCAAGAGGAAAAGGCAGTGTAATTTACAGAACTCTTCCAAGACGGAAAGCTTGGGTTCACATTCCAGCTCCGCGGCTTTTAATGGGCCAGGACCACGTTGTTGCACCTCTGTGAACTTTCCCCTGCTTCCGTTAGACAGCCACTGGGAGGACCAAACGTGAAAGGAGGTAAAACAGCTGATAAATGAAAAATGTGCCAGATTAAATGCACCAGATAACCATGGACGGATCGCCACGGGCCCAAACAGCTAGGCCCCTGGGTAGTATTTCAATAGTCTCTCTCGCACTTGGAAATCTTTCAGACTGAGAACAATGAATAGTCCAAAATGTCTGAAGGCCATGTTTGAAAGATTTTATCGTGTGGGATTTGATAAAGACTTTTTAAATTGAACGTTGACAGCCACAGTTCACAAAGTTCACTTGTACCCCAAGGGTCGACCCAAACTCCCTGCAGGGAACTAGCAGCAGTAATACTTACGCAGACCTGCCTTCCACGTCTAGTTTGCCCGGACTGACGCCCTTTCTAGCCAGGATTGAGGACACCTTTTCTACATCTCCTCTTTCTGCTGCTTTCATCAATCGGTCATCATACTTGTTCCAATCTGCCGCCTGCTACAAAAAGGAAAACAAGTAAGCATGGCGTGCTGTGCACACTGTATTAGTAAGACTTTCTAAAGAAGGAAAAGGGAGACGAAGGGAAAGCTGCACTGGATACATAACTCATCACTCAGGCTCCAGCAACATCCCAAATTCCTTCCTCCTGCTGTGCTAACTTCACAAAAAGAATCTTTCCAAAACACATGATATATAAGAAGTAATTTAAATTACACTTTAGAGAAAAAGGATGTTTCTCACGTTCTCCCCTGTTTTCTTTGCCTTCAGAGCAAGGAATGAAAATTAGTAAGTGTTGAACACCTACCCTGTGTCAGGCATAAATTACTCAAACAACCCTAATAAACTAGAATTATCATCCCCATGTAACAGATGAGGAAAGTCAAGGCTCAAGGGACATTAAATGACTTAAGCGGCCCAATCATGACCTCCACAATCAGTGTGCTGTTCTCCTGTTCCCTAACTCACATTGTCAGGTTTGGCTCTGGTTATCTATCTCCCAAGACCCTTAGATGCAAAGGAATTCTGTATACGTTTTAAGAACCTCTACCACTTGTTTAAAAGGTACTGTTGGAAATATAATTACGGAGGCAAATTACATACACATACGCTCAACAGAAAAAGCAATCCATTATGCTTATGGTTTAAAATAACAAGAAACTCCTACTGAAGAAAACAAACAGACAAAAAGACTGAAGTATTAACTACTTCAAAATCTGAAAACTATAGGATTACAGGTGACTTTCATTTTCTTTCTTCCTTACATTCAAAGCAATTTTTTAAAATAGGAGGATGTATCAAGTGATATATATTCTAATTGTATCAAGGTTCTCTTTAGCTTTGATTGGAGAAAAAATATTCAAGACACCCTGAAGCCAGTAAATTCAACCTTCTCTTAGTAAGTAGAAATGTAGAAGCCAGAACTACAATATGCATTATTTAAACATGAGGTTTTAGCCTTTTAAAACACCACACAGTAAATTTACTGCTGAATTCTGCGATGAGAACAGTATTATTTCTAGAACTAAAAAGATGTACGTATTTTCCACTGAACTTACAAAGCAATTCCTATGTCCACAAATACCGTAACAAATCTCCAGCAGGAGAGACGAATCACCTGAGTCACTGTTTGTTAGTCTAAACGTTTGGTCAGTGTGATTATTTTATATTTACTATCTCCTCCAAGCCAAAAAAAAAAAAGAAAAAAGAAAAAGCAGACAATTTTCCATCTAAATAAATAATGTATTCATTAAATACCTGAAGTGAAAAACATGAAAACTGAATATGGAAGAAGATAAATGCATTAAAATTTTAACCCACCCCTGAGTGTAACATTTCAATGGAATCTGGTTCAAGTACCTACCCCGTCTTCAGGACTGTTGTCTCTACTCAAATTTGGAAATGAACCCACTTCCTCCTAACTTTAAAAGTTCAAACTACCAACTGTGAATAGTGACTAGCCCAGCTTATTGGCTCTAAGTCTAAAACGCATTTGAGGCATCCTCTTTCTTCAGCTTTAAAGCAGAACATCAGTTCACTGTCTCTAAGCCGGGGAGTGCTGGGAGACTAGGCTTTGTGCTTTCAAATGCCTAAGGGATTAAGTCATGTTTAGCACACAAATATTTGCTCTAAATTGATTGGTTTACCCTTGTAGTCAGAACAATCTCAGCTCTACTCCCAGGTAAACTCACTGGTGGAGAAAGGAGCTACTTAAAACACTAAAACAATTGTAAACCCCAAAGCTGGGCTCTTCAAAAGATGATTACGTGAGAGTAAAGTCCCGTATTGTCCTGTGATTTTCAGTTCTACTCCACCAAGCACCGTTTTCCATTTTGGTCCACTGTCAGTTAACAGAAACACTGCTCAATTACTAACATTCTATTATGTGCGTTTTAAACCCAGAAGAAGAAACAAGAACTTTTGTTTTCCAACACTAACCCCAATGTGCTAATCGTATAAAGCAGAGAGGCCGTGACACGGCAAAGAAACCAGCATCAGCAGAGCGGCAGTCACTCCAAAGGC